TTGCTTGGCAGTGGTTGGCAGTGCTTGGCAGTGTTTGGCCTTGCTTTGCATTGCTTCGCATTGCTTCGCATCACTTCGCATTGCTTGGCGTTGCTTGGCATTGCTTGGCATTGCTTCGCATTGATTGGCATTGCTTCGCATTGCTTCGCCTTGCTTCGCAATGGTTGGCAGGTTTGGCAGTGTTTGGCACTGCTAGGCAGTGCCTGGCAGTGATTGGCAATGCCTGGTAGTGTTTGCCACTGCTTGGCAGTGCTTGGAAGTGCTTGGCAGTGCTTGGCGTTGCTTGGCATTTCTTGGCAGTGATTGGCAGTGCTTGGCAGTACTTGACAATGCTTGGCAGTGCTTGGCAGTGATGGGCAATGCCTGGTAGTGTTTGGCAGTGCTTTGAAATGCTTGGCAGTGCTTGGCCGTGCTTGGCGTTGCTTGGCATTGCTTGGCAGTGCTTTGCGTTGCTCTGCACTGCTTGGCGTTGCTTTGCATTGCTTGGCAGTGCTTGGCAGTGCTGGGCAGTGCTTGGCATTGCTTGGGTTTGCTTGGCATTGCTTGGCACTGCTTGGTATTACTTGGCATTGCTTGGGAAAGCCGCCGGGGTACCCGAGGAACTCGGGGAACCCGAGGAACCCGGGGAACCCCAGGAACCCGAGGAACCCGAGGAACCCGAGAAACCCCGTGGGACCCGAGGTAGCCTCCCGAAGCACCAGCCTTCAACCAAGCAAGAACCCCGTAGGCAAGCCTCATTTGGGAAAGATGCGCCCCAAAGAGATGACAACATGCTCGGGGCCAGGGTGTCCAGAATCGGCCACATGAAGAAGGAGGCTCGTCACCGCTTCCGGCCTCTGGAGGCCCACGGCTAGCCCCAGGACGGTCAAACAACGAGTCAAAGCCGGTCCCCAGGAGTAGGTCAAGACTTCCGGGGGCCCCGCTTGGGGCAACGGGACAAGACGTCGGGCATCTCTCTCTCTCTTTCTCTTTCTCTTTCTCTCTTTTTTTTCTTTCTCTCTCTCTCTCTCTCTCTCTCTCCTCCCTCTGGAACAGCAGAAGCGCCCTGCTAGTGGCTACTGGTGGGGACCCTCCCTCCTCCCTCCCTCCTCCCTCCCTCCTCCCTCCCTCCTCCCTCCTTCCTCCCTCCCTCCTCCCTCCCTTCCTTCCCTATTCCCGCTGAAACGGATACGTCCTGCCGGTGGCTACTGCTGGGACCCTCTGAAACGGAAACGTCTTCTGAAACGGGCACGTCCTACCTGTGGCTGCTGGTGGCTACCAGTGGGCCAGCCCAGACATGCTCGTGTCACGTCACCATCCAAAACACAAAAACATACGTTTTTTGGCCGTATTCGGTCGTAGGGGGCCTTCGCTGGGTCCCAGGACTATCACAACACGAGTCGCGATGAAACATTGGCTCCAGGGGAAGGGTCGGGTTTTACGGAGGCCCCGTAGGGAACAACCAAATCCGGGAATCGCATGTCTGGGTGGAGATCATGCCTCCCACCATGTCATCGAGGAGATCGGGCGGGCTGGGCGTTTCGCCCGAGAATTCCTGACCACTGACGACCTGGAAGCTGGAAATCTACCACAATTTCACGGGTGGAGGACGGGTGGTTTTCAACATGTGGCTCTCGCCTTAGCGCCGCGCACATTCGTCCTGATTGTGCTGGTGGCTACCAGTGGGCCCAGACCCCCAGCGTCGTGTTTTTCCACAACGTCGACCCCCAGAAGTTTGGACCCCTTCCCCCAGCAATGGTCTTTCCTCCCTGAGTCGTTTTGTTGACGGTCCCGAGGCCCAGCGAGGGCCCCCTGAGGCCGAAAACGGCCCAAACCCACCGCTCCAAATTTTCGGGAGCGTCATCGTCGTCGTCGTCGTCGTCGTGATTTCTTCACAACGCGAGGGGAGAGCATGTTACGCATGGAATGAAGTCAATGGAAATAAATTGCAGTGGATCCGTGAGTGGATCAATCTAGATTGATGAGGCTATGATGCCTCTTTTGATTTTGAGCCGGCTATGATGCCCGCTCGTGCCCACCCCGTCTCGTCATCAGGGACTTCGCATCCCCCTGTGATGGTAAGATGGGAAGACGGGCCGCCGCCTCTGGCACTGCACGTACGGTGCCAGGTTTGTGGGGATTTGGTTCGACCCCCGCAGTTCCAATGATGGAGACTGCGACGGGTGTGAGGCCTCATGGTGGTCCTCACTGGTAACGCCTATGAGGGTCCTCACCGGGGGGGGAGAGGGCAAGAGCGGACGTCCACCAACAACGTCCGTCGTGCTCATCCTCCGTGAAATGCACTGACCACACTCATGAATCAAAAGACCGTGACATTCACGAGCACGACCCGACCTATGATTGCGGACTCCGTGAAACGCACCGTGGCCACGCTCATGACCACGGAAACCGTGAAATTCACAAGCACGACTCGACATGTGATTGCAGACTCCGTGACATGCATTGTGATCGCGCTCATGATCACGAAGACCGTGAAATTCACGAGCGCGACCCGACCTATGATTGCGGACTCCGAGAAATGCCCTGTGACCACACTCATGAACAAGAAGACCGTGACATTCACGAGCACGACCCGACCTACGATTGCGGACTCCCTGAAACGCACCGTGAACACACCCATGATCATGGAAACCGTGACACTCACGAGCACGACCCGATCGAGGCCGAGGTGCTGCCCGCACTGCTTGTATCGCGGCTCCGATGGGGTGGAGACCAGGAGGAGGAGAAGGAGGAGGACGGCGACGACGAGAAAGTTGAGTTCAATGAACAAATTGAGCGCGAAGGCCTATGATGGTCCATCTTCCCAAAACGAGCCTTGCTGATGGCCCCGAATTGGGTGCGAGGTGCCGATGATGGCCCCTCTGGTTGCCTATGATAGCGGCACTAGACGACCAGCAGGGGATTGAGTCCCGTTCGCGGCCCATTAGGGGAGAGCATGCTACGCATGGAATGGACTCAATGGAAAGCAATTGCAGTGGATCCGTGAGTGGATCAATCTAGGCTGATGAAACTATGATGCCTCTTTTGATTTTGAGCCGGCTATGATGCCCGCTCGTGCCCACCCCGTCCCGTCTTCAGGGATTTCGCATCCCTCTATAATGGTAAGATGGGAAGACGGGCCGCCGCCTCTGGCACTGCACGTACGGTGCCAGGTTTGTGGGGATCTGGTTCGACCCCCGCAGTACCAATGATGGAAACTGCGATGGGTGTGAGGCCTCATGGTGGTCCTCACTGGTAAGGCCTGTGATGGTCCTCGCCGGGGGGGGGGGAGAGGGCAAGGGCGGACGTCCACCAACAACGTCCGTCGTGAAATGCATTGTGCCCATATTCATGAATCAGAAGACCGTGACATTCACGAGCACGACCCGACCTACGATTGCGGACTCCGTGAAACGCACCGTGACCGCGCTCATGACCACGGAAACCGTGAAATTCACAACTACGATTCGACCTATGATGGCGGCACTAGACGACTGGCAGGGGACTGGGTTCCGTTCACGGACCATTAGGGGAGAGCATGCTACGCATGGAATGAAGTCAGTGGAAATAAGTTGCAGTGGATCCGCTAGTGAACCAATGTAGATTGATGAGGCTATGATGCCTCTTTTGATTTTGAGCCGGCTATGATGCCCGCTCGTGCCCACCCCGTCTCGTCTTCAGGGACTTCGCACCCCCTTATGATGGTAAGATGGGAAGACGGGCCGCCGCCCCTGGCGCTGCACGTACGGTGCCGCGACTCGCACCGGCGGTCGCCCCGTGTGGGCCGACAGCGCCGTGCGCGCGGCCCTGGGCTCGCCCCGAGGTGCTGCGGCCAGCGCTCGGGGCTCCTCTTGTGCTGTACGGATGGCGGGGCTCAGCAGACGGGGATTTGTGCACCAGCGGGGAGGGGGCGTTCCACGGGTCGGGCATTGCTAGGTTGCCCGCCTGCGACAGTAGTGCCCGTGCCGCGCGGTCCGGCCGGGCGGGCGGTCCGGACGGGCCTCCTGCAGGGCGGAAGAGGAAACGGAAAGGGCTCAGTCAGAGCGCCCGATTTGCAGTATCCTGCACAGCCAAGGTTGCATCGACCCGGGCTTGAGTGCAGGATCCTGCAGGAGGTCGCTAGGTTCCTTCTAGGGTTCTGCTGGGGTCCTGCAGGATTTTGCAGCATCTTGCGAAGCCTGACTGCCTCGTGTTTGGATTGGCCCGGGTGGTCAGATCCACGAGGACGAAGGATCTGGGGGGGGGGCCATAGGGGGGGGGCGGAGGGGGCCCCGTAGATCCGACGCTCCCAAAAATTTGGAGCGACGGGTTTTTGGCCGTTTTCGGCCTCTGGGAGCCCTCGCCGGGCCTCGGGGCCGTCAAAAACGATTCAGGACGAGAAGCCGGGCCCACGCATCGAAAGAATTGGAGCAGCCGGATGTCTGGAGAGGCGGTCGTCTGGAAGGTGGTGTCCACGGTTCCTTGGCTTGTCCCGAGGGCAATCGGATCCGTTTCGTTCCGACTTCGCGACACAGATCACGATGGGGCACGTCGTTCTTTTCATCCCAGGGTTCTGACGCGGGGGGTGGCGCCTTATGGGAAGCCAAGGGGGTTTTCGGAGGAGTCTGCAGAAGGCATCGGAGGCTTCCAGGAAGGCCGCCCATGATAGAAGGCGGGCGGGCTTCTAGGGAGCCTCCCTGCCCTCGCCGACGGCCAGCCCCCCCACCCCCACCCCCAGACATCCGGCTGCTTCAATGTTTTCGATGCGTGGGCCCCGGAGGTCTGGACCACTTCCCCGAGGGCCCGACGTCTCGTCCTGAGTCGTTTTTTGACGGCCCCGAGGCCAGGCGAGAGCTCCCGAAGGTTGAAAACGGCCCAAACCCCGCCGCCCCAAACTTTCTGGAGCGTCGTCGTCGTCGTCGTCGTCGTCGTCGTCGTCGCCCCCCCTCCCGTCCTCCGCGCCGCTGGCGGGCCCACGCCGCGGACGATTCCGCGGGCCTGCTGGAGCGCCGGATCTGTGGGCCCCTCCTGCGCGCCGCCAGGAGCTGCCGATGGGCCGCTCGTCGGACGATGACGGGGACCTCCTCGAGCACGGCGGGCTGCCGCGGGGGCTCTCCGTGTTCCGCACGGCCTCCAGGCCCCCGAGGGGAGGAGGATGGAGGAGGAGGAGGAAGAGAAAGAGGAGGAGAGACAGCAGGAGGAGGAGGATGAGGAGGAAAAATAAGAAAAATGATAAGGATAATAACAACAAGAGTATGATACTAATAATACGAATGATAATAATGAAAATACTAATAATAATATAAATGATAAGAAGAAGAATAATACTAGTAATATTATTATTATTACTAATACTAATAATATTAATAATAGTAATGAGGATAATAATAATAATAATAAAACTCATGATAATAGTAATTGTGATAATAGTACCATTAATAATACGAATAATAATATTCAAAAGTAGCAGTAATAATAACGAGAAGAAGAGGAGGAGGCGGAGGAGGAGGAAGAGGAGGAGGAGGAGGAGGAGGCGGAGAAGAAGGAGGAGGAGGGAGGAGGAGGGCGGAGGAGGGCGGAGAAGGAGGAGGAGGAAGTCTAGGGAATCGTATGTGGCCGGTTCCGCCTTCTGCCGACATCCGAATTTCAATGGCATAGCTACACTTGGAACCGATACGGGGACCGAGGTAACTGGCATTGGGCTTTGGGGGCGGCGGGCAGGGTGATGTGTCCCGTCCCGACGGCACGCGCTTGGACCCCAGCCCCCTCTCCCAGAAACAACGGGCAACATGTCTTGTTAGTCATGGTTTGTTTTACATCCTATCTCGGCGAGGGCCCCGTCCTAGAAGCTGATTTGCACCCTCGTTGATCGCAACCAGCTCGCTGAGTACCTGGTGGGGCCCTGCCGACAAAAAGCTTTAGCATACTGTCCGCATTGAGGATCAACGATGTACCAACAGCGCGGTCAAGAAACGGGTGCTGCGTCACGAGACCTTCCGCCCCCATCCCCCAAGTCTCCAGCCGCGTCCCCCATTCCCGTATTGCAGTTTGGAACACAATCACAAATTATCTGACGACGTGTGAGTCGCCCATGGAACTTCCGCATCCTGCCTGAAAAAACGGGCGCCTTCGGAGCAGGGGAGGGTCACCGCTGCCTCCTCAAAGCGCTGGCATCCGAGACGTGCTAGGCTGTCTTCCGTCAGCTCCGCTGCAGCAGCTCGCATGTCGGGCCAGCTTACGCTCGCAAAGGCGTTGGTGAGATCATATAACTGCACAATGCCTGAGCGCTCCGCGCGTCTTGCGCGCCACATCATGATGAGTACATTTGTGATTGCACTCTCCTCGTAGCAGTGGGAAAGAAAGCCATGCGCTTGGGGCGGTATCACAAGGGCTTCAGAGTGAGTGGAGTTCCAATTCTTACCGAGCGGAGGGAGGCGCTGAATGGTTGTGAGAGTTCTGAGCCCCGGCGCCGTCTCTCCAAAGGGCGTCCTTTCGACCTTCTTGGCCCAAGGGATCCCCATGCTCGAGTACCAGAAAGCTAGAGTACGAAAACTCATGCGAACTCTAAGACAGATATGTTCCAGATGCTTCCGAACAGAAGCGCTTCTAACTCAGGCCCTGGCGCTCCACGCCCTCGGGGCCTACATGAAACCACGGTGGGAGGACACATTCAGATTACCAAAAGTTCCACAGGCGCAGCCGAAGTCGGAACATCTTTTCTCCTGGGTGCTTTTGGTGGCCAACGCTCGAAGTGACGAACATCAAGCTTAGCTTTTAGACCGCAATCTATCATGCAAAGGGGTCTCCGTCGTCAGGTGTAATAGGCGTTCTGGCGCGAGCCCATCTGATCCACTAGTCGGTTTCCTGTGCGGACATTCGTCCTTCCGATCATGGACGAGACAGTTGGTCCAACCATGTCTGTTCCGTTGGAGGTGCACCCTTGGCGGCGAGGGAGGGACGCTTCCTTGTGTCATAATTTGAGAAAGTGCGCCACTGGATCTCCCTGAATACACTAAAGGGGGGGGGGTTCAGAACCCCCCCCCCCCTTCCCCCCTTCAAGGGGGGGGGGGGTCCGGACCCCCTCCCCCCCGTAAGGGGGGGGGGGGTCCCGAACCCCCCCCCCAACCCTTGAAGGGGGTGGGGTCCCAGACCCCCACCCCCTCTTCCCCCCCTTGGCGCTGGAAAGGAGGGGGGGGTCGGATCCCCCCCCCCTCGTGTAGGGAGTACGGAGTTGGGAGTATGGAGTGGTGAGTAGTGAGTAGTGAGTTAGTGCGTAAGGAGTAGTGAGTATTGGGTAGTGAGTAGTGGGTAGTGAGTGGCGAGTAGGGAGCAGGGAGTAGGGAGTGGGGAGTAGTGAGTACTGAATAGTGAGTAGTGTGTATTGATAAGTGAGTAGCGAGTGGCGAGTAGTGAGTAGTGAGTATTGAGTAGCGAGTAGCGAGTAGTAAGTACTGAGTAGGGAGTAGGGAGTAATGAGTAGTGGGTAGTGAGTAGTGGGTAGTGAGTAGTGGGTGGCGAGTAGTGATTAGTGAGTAGTGCGTAGTGGGTAGTGCGTAGTGCGTAGTGAGTAGTGAGTAGAGAGTAGTGAGTAGTGAGTAGTAAGTAGTGAGGAGTGAGTAGTGAGTAGCGAGTAGTGAGTAGTGAGTAGTGAGTAGTGAGTACTGAGTAGTACGTAGTGCGTAGTGCGTAGTGAGTAGTGAGTAGTGAGTAGTGATGAATAGAGAGTAGTGGGTAGTGGCAGTGGGTAGTGAGTAGCGAGTGGGGAGTAGCGAGGCGAGGAGCGAGTAGGGCGTAGTGGGTAGTAAGTAGTGAGTAGTGAGTGGAGAGTACTCAGTAGTGAGGAGTAAGTAGTGAGTAGTGAGTAACGAGTAGGGAGTAGCCAGTAGTGAGTAGTGAGTAGGGAGTAGGGAGTAGGGAATAGTGAGCAGTGAGTAATAAGAAGTGGGTAGCGAATAGTGTGTAGTGAGTAGCGATGTGCGAGTAGTGGGTTGTGACTAGTGACGAGTGACTAGTGATTTGTGACTAGTGACTAGAGACTATGTAGTGACTAGTGATTAGGGAGTAGTCAGTAGGGAGTAGTGAATAGTGAGTAGCAGGGAGTGAGTAGTGGGTATTGAGTAGCGAGTATGGGAGTAGCGAGTAGTGAGTACTGAGTACTGTGTAGCCAGTACTGTGTAGGGAGTAGCGAGTAGTGGGTATTGAGTAGTGACTTGTGGGCAATGAGTAGTTAGTAGTGAGTAGTGAGTAGTGGATAGTGAGTCGTGATTAGTGAGTAGGGAGTAGGGAGTAGTGAGTAGTGCTTAGTGAGTAGAGAGTATTGAGCAGTGGGTAGTGAGGAGTGGGTAATGAGTAGGGAGGAGGGAGTAGTGAGTAGGGAGTAGTGAGTGGCGAGTAGTGGGTGGTGGGTAGTGAGTAGTGGATAGTGAGTAGTGAGTCGTGAGTAATGAGTAGGGGGTAGTGAGGAGTGAGTAGCGAATAGCGAGGAGTCAGTAGTGGGTAGTGAGTAATGAGTAGTGAGTACTCTTTGGGGCTGGGGTCAATGGTTGGGGTTAGGATTAGGGGTTCGGGTTAGGGTGAGGACTAGGGGTAGGGGTGGCGGGGGGGGCGGCGTGGCGAAAGGGGGGACGGGGGGGGGGTCGGACCCTTCCCCCTTTTGAAAGGGGGGGAGGGGGGGGGGTCCCCGACGACGGATCGGGGAAAGGGGGGAGGGGGGGGGGGGTTCCCCGACGACGGATCGGGGAAGGGGGGGAGGGGGGGGGGTTCCCCGACGACGGATCGGGGAAGGGGGGGGGGGTCCTAACCCCGTTCCCCCCCCTACCCCCCCCCTTCCCCTTGGGGAGATCCAGCGGCGCACCCTCATAATTTGATCCAGCTGCTCTCCTGGGCAGTCGATATACATCGTGGAGATGCCACTTGCCCCACTGTTCCTACAACTCATCCACCGATTGTGCTTGAAATGTGTTCCACTCGAGTTTGCGTTCACGCTTCAGATGCGGAGAGAGAAGTCGTAGTTCGAAAGTGAGTTGCTCAATGTCATAACCTCTATAAGTTTCAAAAATGTATCTCCCTCGGGCTCTTGATTCTGTCGTTGTTGCAGCAGCGAGCGACGGTGTGTTTGGAGCGTTTGGTATCGTTCATATCGTGCCACTTCTTTGGTGCAAATTTCACTGCTTCCTCGATCATGGTGTCTTCAATCTCTGAACGATAGCTGTCGGGCAATGTTTTCTGAGTGAACTCCAATACCTCTTCTTCCTCTTCAAGTTTGGCTTCCACAGCTAGTATCAACCCATCACCAAAAATGATCTCCATCAAAGTCTTCACCATGACATCACGATTCCATTGAGGTCGTTGGTGTGTTGCAGCATGTATTGCTTATGTTTTCCATGATGGTATCCGACACTGCACGTGCAGGAGCATGTGTTCACGTTGGGCACGAGGAGCGTGTATCAACTGAAGTTGTCGCGCTAGTGTGCCTAGCGTCCCGGCTTTGACCATTTCATCGTCCGCCAATTTTTCAGGAATGTATAGATAATCAATAAGCCTCTCTCCGTGATCGCCGTACCATGTATTTTGCCCGTGTTGAGCAGAAGAGGCGTGTAGATGGTGGGCTTCAAGGGTTCTTCGCATAAGTTGACCAGCGAGATGCTCGCCCCTCGAGCTCACATGGCTGATGACGAATGTCTCAATTTTTCGATCGTCTGGAATTGGGGTGCGACCCATTCCGTCGATCAAACCCATACATCTAGCTGGAATGCTTATGCTCGGGCCTTCCCCAATAACCAGGACTGTCCATTCATGAAGAGAGCGAGCACATCTATCGTACTGTGGGGCCTCGAGCTTCGACTTAGCCTTGAGGGGAGAATGCAAGCACAGGAAGGTGAAATCGTGAATTTTGGAATCGGCACCCGTACATCCTCTGCTCGCGAGATCTTGTTCGGGGACCCATCTCTGTCGTGAGTGCTGCTTTTTTGATCTTGCGCCCGAAGCTTAGAGTGATCCCCGCTGTCTTGTTGGTATGCTTGCCTTTAGACCATCCTCCTTCCTCCCTCCGCCAGTTTTGATGGACAGGGAGGTACAGGGAAACAGGTAGAGAAAAACGAACAACGAAACGAAGACAAACCGAAAAACCACGCTTGGGTCCAGCCCTGCCCTCCGCCTGCCATCTAGTCCCCATGCGTCGTCGTTGCACACGGAGGTCCGGCCCCTTGCGCCAGTGCCTGCCGTCCCCGCCGCGTCGAGGTTGCTACAGGCAAGGCTGATGTCCTCCTGGCACTCGCGGCAGGAGGCGAAGAGGCGGGTAGTGCCCATCGGTCGTTGAAAGTAGGTATCTCTGGATTCCCAGATTCCACTCTACTGTAAGTGTCTTCCTTCTTCAGTGATCGAGTGGCTTCACCTTTTCCGTCCTCCTTGGGGGGGGGGACGGAACCCAACATTTTTTCAACGCCTCATATTTCATGTTTCTACCTGATTCTTGCGACATATGGGTAGTGTCCAAAGCGTCAGACATGTGGGAGATATTGCTGGTCGTCCTGCTGCTGATCCCCTCCACCCAACTCTCGAGAGCACTTTTCAATCTCCAGCTGTAGACATGCCCCCGCGGCCATGCAGGCCACCAGCAGAAACGGACTCTAGACCTGGCAGGTCATGTGCACCTGAAGATGTCAAATACTTGGTGTCTTCATTGTTTGGACCGCTGCGGCAGCTGGGGGGAGAAGGAGGGAGGAGGTAGGATGAGGAGGAGGAGGAGGAAGAACAGGAGCAGGAATCGTCAGGGGCCGTCGTGTCGTCGCCGTCGCCGTCGTCGTCGTCGTCGTCGTCGTCGCCCGCAGGGCGAGCTTCAGCGACGGCCTCAAGGACAGGCTCCAGCAGGTGCCCGGCCTCCTCGACCCTGCGGCGGCGCCTTGCGACGTGCTCTCCGTGTCCGGAGCGGTCCACCGCGTGTTCGAGGCGCCGTCCTCCCTCCAGGGAGGAGGACTTCTGTTCCCCTCGTCTGGCACCACAAATCGGCCCTGCTTAGAGGAGGAGGAGAAGGAGGAGGAGGAGGAGGAGGAGCTGACGCCGCGGGCGGACCGCCCGCATGGCCTGGCAAAGAAAGAGGAGGAGGAAGAGGAGGAGGAGGAGGAGGAGGAAGAAGAGGACCAGTGCAAACCCAAGACTCATCAACGATGTTGGGATACACACTCCCTCCAAGCTCGCTCTTCATAGGCCCCATACAATGGTTCCCTTCCACTGAGGGAAGTGCCCCGTTGAGAGACAACCGTGTGAAAATCCAGAAGCGTGCCAAAACACCATTCTCAGGAGTTCAACGCCACGAGTCAACTTGACTGTTGCGTCTTGACGATTCTGATTCGTGCCAGAACACCATTTCTGGGACTCTAACATCGCGAATCAACGTAACTGATGCGCCCGGACAGTCCTGAATCGTTCGAAAACACTTTTCTGTAAGGGTGATCGTGAGAATCCGTGAAGCTATTGAGTTTTTGTTTACGACGAATGCGCACGGCGCGAAGGCGACAGCCACATTTTGAAAACGACCCGCCTTCTATCCGTGAAGCTTTCGAATCTCGTTTAACGTGAATGTGCGCGGCACTGCAGCGACAGCCACACTTTTGAAACGACCTGCCTTCAATATATGAAAGCGTTGCAAATGTTTAAGACGAGTGACTGTGAATTTTAAGTTGTTTCACGTGCGTGTGCGCGGCGCTGAGGCGAGGGCCACATTTCGAAAACGACCCGCCTTCCAAATTTTTCAGATGCATGTGCGCGGCGCTGAGGCGAGAGCCACATTTTGAGAAGGATTACTTTCAATCCGTGGAACTCTTGCAAATGTTAAAGACGAGTGTGCGCGGCGCTCAGACGAGAGCAACATTTTGAAAACGACCCGCCTTCAATCCGTGAAACTCTTGCACTTGTTAAAAAGAAACGAATTTGCGCGGCGCTACTGCGAGAGCCATATTTTGGAAACGACCCGCCCTCCATCTGTGAAGCTGTTGGCGGTTTATAAGCTTCAGGCTCATAAGTGGTAAGGCAGTCTCAAGCGAAACGCCTGACCCGCTCTTCCGACTGGCCTCGGGAGGGGACAGGGAGGAGACATATTCACCAGGAAAATGAATGGGCTTGTGTGTCCGTCTGGCGGCTATGTAGCCGCCGTTGTTGCCCTGTCGCCGCCCCGTCGCCGCCCGTCGTCTGGGCCGGTGTTCTGGTCTGGCGACTATGTTGCCGCCGTCGCCGCCCCATCGCCGCTTCGTCGACGCCCGTCGTCTCATGGCGGCAACATCGCAGAGCGGATTTCGTTCGGAAAGCGGTAGGATTGGCCTGGATTGTCCTGGAGAATTTCGTTCTGGATTTCGAGGTGAATTTCGTGCGGATCTTTTTTGCCAGGAATGAATGCTTAAAAAAATCAGCGCGAAGTCCACTTCATTTTTCACTCGCCGTTTCGGGGTTTTGCATTGATAGAAATCCACGCAACAATCCGTTGCAGCACGTCTGCAAGGTCGGTGCAGTGAGTCGTCTGGGCCTTGCTGTGCATTGCGGTGCGCTGCTTGCGTGTTTCTTAACTGCTGAGCATTGCAAATTGCATTGTTTTGCACTGTTTTGCACTGTTACCTACACAGTGCTTGCTCTTATGGACTTTTGCTTCTGTTCTACGGAACTGGGCCTGACCGCCGGTCTGGCGGCTATGTTGTCGTCGTCGCGGCCCATCGCCGTCTCGTCGCCGCGCGTCGTATGGGTCTGTCTGCCAGTCTGGCGGCTATGTTGTCACCTTTGCCACCCCGTCGCCGTTTCGTGGCTGCCCGTCGTCAGGGCTTGTCTGCTGGTCTGGCGGCTACGTTGTCGCCGTCGCCGCCCTGTCGCCGCCTCGCCGCCGCCCTGTCGCCGCCCAGATTGCACCACGCAGCTTGCACCAAGCGGATTGCATCACATAAGTTGCACCACGCAGGTTGCACCGCGTCGATTGCATAGCAAACATTGCGCACCTCATAGATTCGCATCACATTCACTACTCAACAAAATCGATTCATCCACAAGTATTGCACAACATCGATTCCTCTTTCTGATAAGGAACTTGGATCTACCGCCCCTGCGAGGCCGCGTCTCCCCCCCCAGGGGCCGTGCAATGTAGATATCACGATGCATCATTCATTCGGAATCTGAACTCATATCATCCCAGCCAAACCGCCCACCTCGTCCCTTTCTGCGCGCACACCCGTTTACCAAAAATCATCGGTTTTCATCAATGACCCTTTGCAACAGATGGGACCAAGTTCACACGCGCGCGTCGTCGCGTCTGCATGCCGGAATCCATCAGAAACTTGTGAGTGTCGTACGGATTCCAAGATCGAGTGCCCCGAAACCATATAAACCAAACCACATGGTTGTGCAACATGTTTTTCAAAACGGTATGCGCGCGCGTTCTTGCGAATTCTTGTTGTTTTGTATCAAAAGATGAACCAGCAACAAACATGTGTTCTATATGCTCATCAAGTGCGACCAAGCGGGCCTCTCGCGCGCGCATGTCGACATCATTCGAACGCCCTTGCGCGTTTGTTGGGGGGCATGGTCCCTGTCAAAGAATGCCATGCAGGCCATTCGCCCCGCGTGTCGAGATCCTGCCGAAGCCTTCATCACCCACACGTGGACACCATCATCGTCATCGGCGTGATCAGCATCGGCACCATCATTGGCCTGGCCGTCGTGATCGTCACCATCGCTAATTACCAGCATTGCTACTATCATCATCGTGTCTGCCATCGACGACGTCGCCATGATACTGCGCCCGCCCGAGTCACCGAGTCGCACTGAAATGCCTGCGCGTCAGCACAGCCTGCGAAGCGCGCTGGGAAGTTTCCAAGGGTCAGCGCCGCCGCGGCCACGTCCGTCGTGCCAGAGTAGCTGGCCGCTCTGCGCGCGAGCCTACGCGCTAGCGCGGTCGCTGCGATACGCTAGCCAGCGCCAAACATTCATCGCAGTCGCCCTCGCAAGGCTTTTGCAAACCAGGTTGCGGGTGGGTGGGTGGCATGATCATGATACCGCGAGCAGTGGAGTTGACAACTCACTGCGAACAGAATCTCTTTGCACCGCATAGATTGCGCCACGTCGGCTGCACCACATAGATGGCACAACATAGATTCCACAGCATATATGGCACCACGCAGGTTGACCACCTCGATTGCGCAACGTAGATTGCGCACCACATCGATTCCCCTTTCTAAAAGACTAATAGATTCTACCCCCCCCCCGGACTTATCGGTTACCCCGCGCGTGCTGTAAATTACCTGTGCTTCTGACCACATGTCCATTTTAAATATGAACTCATACCATCCCAGCCAAGCCGGGTTCCCCCCCCTGCGGGTCCCTTGTAAAAAAACACTATGCGGTGACATTTTTTGTTCCAACATAACATTTTTTCGCGAACCCTTGGCAAAAATGAGACGAAGTGCACACGCGCGCGTCGTGGCGCGCGCATGCCAAAATCATTCAAAAACCTTCGGTTCCGGAGAGAGTTCAAAATTGAATTTCCAAACAACATACAAAAACACATGGTTTCGCAACACTGATTCAAAGAAAAACTTACGCGCGAGCTCTTGCGAAATCTTAAGAAAACTATAGGTTTTCCAAGATTTTCACAAAATGCTACAAACGGGCTTCGCGCGCGCGCATGTCGAAATCTGTCGAACGCTCTTGCGCGTGTGCCGTCGCGAGAATCTTCTGCAAAAAATGGGACGAAGTGCAGACGCGCGCGTCGTCGCGGGCGTATGCCGAAATCCTTCAAAAACCGTCGGTTTCGGAAGAATTTCGAAATCGTGCGTCCAAAAAACCTACAAAAACACAAGGTTTCGCAACACGGGTTTTCAACAAAATTGTGCGCGCGCGCTCTTGCGTCGTCGTCGTCGTCGTCGTCCTCCCTCCTCCCTCGTCGTCGTCGTCGTCGTCGTCGTCGTCGTCGTCGTCTTCTGTCTTTCCTCGTCGTCTTTGGCGTCGTCGTCGTTTCCGTCGTCGTTGTCGCCGTGGTCGTCCTTCCTCCCTCGTTGTCTTCGTCGGCGTCTCGTCGTTGTCCCTCCTATTTCGTCGCCGTCGTCGTCGTCGTCGTCGTCGTCGTCTTCACTCCTCCCTCGTCGTTATCCTCCTCCCTCGTCGTCGTCGTCCGTCGTCGGCGTCTCGTCGTCGTCCCTCCTATTTCGTCGCCGTCGTCGTCGTCTTCGTCGTCGTTGTCATCGTCGTCGTCTTCCCTCCTCCCTCGTCGTTGTCGTCGTCGGCGTCGCCGTCCTTCCTCCTTCTTCGTCGTTGGCGTCGTCGCCGTCTTCCCTCCTCCATCGTCGTTGTCGTCGTTGTCGCCGTCGTCGTTTTTTCTCCTCCCTCGTCGTCGTCTCCGTTGGCGACGTCGTCGTCGTCTTCGTCGTCGTCGTCGGCGTCGTTGTCGTCGTCGTCGGTGTCGTCGTCGTCGTTGTCGTCGTCGAAAACATTGGAGACGTCGTCGGTGTCGTCGCAGTCGCTGTCGGCGGCGCCGTCGTCGTCGATGTCGCTGTCGTCGTCGGCATCGGTGTCGTGGCCAAGTGCCACGCAGTACCTACCGTGACGGTCTTGTCTGAAGATGTCTTGCGACCAAGTTGCGGGTGGGAGGGTGGGATGTTTGCACGAGCAGTGGAGAGGACAGCTTCAAGACAGTCGAAGTGGATTGCGCAACGTAGATTGCACCACGCATGTTGCCCAACATAATTCGCACAGCGTAAATATCACCACATAGATTGCACCACGATGAGTGCACCACATGGATTGAAAACGTTGCACTACATAGACTGCGCGAGAGAGATTGCACAACACATGTTGGCCAACGTCGGTCTTTCTTTGTTCGACAGTAACAGGATCTCCCCCTCCCCCCACCAGAGTTCCTCGCTCGTATTGCAATGTGCAGGTGGTCCTGCCGCATCGTCCATCCGATATGCACTGATATCATCCCAGCCAAGCCGGCAATCCCCCCATGCTTTGCAACAAATGCTATGCGCGCGCATTCGTTTATCAACAATCAGCAGTTTTCAAAAACTCCTTTGTACTAGATGAAACGAAGTGCACACGCACGCGTCGTCGCGGGCGCATGCCGAAATCCTTCAAAAACGCTTGGTGCCGTTAGGATTTCAAAATCGAATGCCCTGAGGACACATAGGAACACATCGCCTCGTAACAAGAATGTTCAAAACAAACCTGCGTTCGCGCTCTTGCAGGTTATTTAGAAATCTGTTGGTTCTTCAACAGTTCAATCACATGCTACCAAGCATGCCTCTCGCGTGTGCATGGCGAAATCGCTCGAACGCCCTTGCGCGCGTGCTGTCGCAAGAACCCCTTGCAACTGATGAAACGAAGTGCACACGCGCGCGTCGCCGCGCGCGCATGCCGAAATCCTTCAAAAACCGTCTGTTTCGCAAGGGGTTCAAAATCGAGTGTCCCGAACACACCTAAGCATGGGCTCGCAACAATAATGTTCAAACAAAGCTTGCGTTTGCATTCTTGTCGGTTCCTGACAAAACTATGGGTTGTACCACATGTTCAACAAGTTATACCAAACATGCCTCTCGCGTGCGCATGGCGAAATCGCTCGAACGCCATTGCGCGCTTACTATCGCAAGAATCCCCTGCAACAGCTGGGACGAACTGCGCGCGCGCGTCGTCGCGCGCGCATAAATCGACGCTCTCGAAAACAAGTTTGACAAAATCACATGGTTTTGCAACATCAGTTTTCAAACATGCCTGCGTTCGCGCTCCTGCGAGTTCGTAGGACAACCATCGGCATCTCATCAGTTTCATAAAATTCGGCCAAACGGGCCCTTTGCGCAGCACGTCGCAATTATTCGAACGCCCTTTGCGTGCGTGCTGGACGGGGCACGATCCGTGTCAAATAATTCCATGCGTTCCACTCTTGCGCGTCGGCCGCGCGCGCATGCCGAACTCTTTCCAAAACTTTCATCACCGACGCGGGGACGCCGTTATCGTCTTCGGCGTGATCAGCGTCGGCGCCGTCAGTGGCCTTGCCGTCGTCGTTGTCATCATCGTCACCAGTACCGCTACTACCATCATCATGTATATCTTCGTCGATGTTGCCATGATACCGCGCCCGCCCAAGTCGCCGACTGGCACGGGGGTGCCCGCTGGGAAGTGCCCAGTGGTCAGCGCCACCGCGGCCGCGTCGGTCGCGCCAAACTAGCTGGCCGTTTCGCGCGCGAGCATGCGCGGGCAAGCGCGGCCGCAGAGATGCACCAGCCAACGCCAAGCACTCATCGCGATCGCCGCGGCATGGGCTTTGCAAACCAAATTGCGGGAGGGTGGGTGGAATGGTTGCGCGAACGGTGGAGTTGAAAGCTCAGTGCGATCATACTTTAGATGCATCACATATGTTGCCCACAGGTTGCACAGCATATTTGAGCACCCTGTTTGGGGCCCACGCTTGCTAACATTAGACAAGAGCCAACCTCTATCGTTGCAGTTGTTTCTTGTATATAATGTGTTGAGGACGTTTTAGGCGAGATCTCAAGTTTGAAAAAAAGGCCGGCCTCCATCCATGTATGTGTTCGGAATGTTCGAGACGAGTGCGTGCAGCGCTACAACCGCACCGTGACAACATACAAGCCTCCTTCCGTGCAGCTGTTGATCGTGTTTGCGACAAGTGTTCGCGACCCTCAGTGAAGAGCCACATTTCGAAAAGGTACTGGCCTCCATCCGTGCACTTGCGTGAACTGTCAAGCAAGCTTTGGGACAGTAGTTTGTAAGGAAATGTTGAACGAAACTCCCAACCTGGCCTGCGGACGCATCTTGTAGTGCGACAGGAGGAGGGGGAGATAATGGAGGACTTTTGGATGCCCCGCGGGGCCCTCGTGGAGTCCCTTGAGGGCTCCTTGACACAATTCGGTGGCCTGCCAAGGCCTTGAGCTCGGTGGTTGAATCCCGAACACGGCCCTTGAGCCAGATTGGCTGCGGATCTTCTACTCCTCCTCCCTCATCGTCCTTCTCCCTCACCCTTATTCCTTATCGATATCAGTTCTTATTCTGCCACGAAAACAGCCGATGGCAACCGGATCTGCGCTGTCCATCCTATTTGTTGAAAACAAAAATGTAGAATCAATGCTTTTCGTCTCGACACGGGCGTTCTGCTGTCGACGGTGTAAACTGCGTGGCAGGAGTGGGACGCGGCGCACATCCCGCGCGAAAGGCCGAAATGTCGCTCCCGCGCGGGCGCGGCGCGCACACGCAAGTTCGCCGACGCGCGGGCGGACGAACATGTCGCTCTCGCCTCGACGCCGCGTCCAGATCGCCTGAAAATTGCGCTCCCGCCTCGACGCGTCGCATATGTTTCTCACTCGCCGGTGCTGAAGGGCCTGCGCGAGTGGGCGACTTGTCGCCCTCGCCCTCGCCCAAGCTCCGCCCGCATTTCGCTCGGAAGTGGCGTTCCCGCGCGGGGCCCGGCGCGCGGGTCGTTCGCCGCGTCGCGTGAAGCTGACAGCGGCAGCGGTGCCGCGCGAGAGCGGGAGAGGTGCCGAGCTCGCCCAAGCGCCGCGAAGCTTGTGAGTGAAAGTGGCGCTGCTGTGTCAAGTCGGCACATGCTTCGTTTTCGCTGCGCCCATCGGAAGTTTTGCCATCCCTTGCGCGGCCCTCGCAAGTTTCTGTTCGCCAAGTCTCAGGAGGGAAAGAAACACACAGACACAATTAATCGTCGATTTCCCAGAAAACATGGGAAAATATGGGAAGTGGGGGGGAAGACAGAAACCCAGAAAATATGGGAAAATATGGGGAATATTTTTAGTTGTGTGTATTTATTTGTGTGTCCTGGGGCCCCTTGAAAGTCGTCGGAAGCGGGGCCGCGCGCGAGCGCCTTCCGTTTGCGAGGTGGGGACGCGTTCCAATCCCAATACCATGTTGTGCCACAGTTTAGGGCGACGAGATCTATGCATATCCACTGCTCCTGGCCAGGCCAATCCTGGGCCCAGGAGCGGTGTATACGCCCTCCTGGCCTGGCCAGGGAGGCATATACACAGCTCCTGGGCCCAGGATGGGCCTGGCCAGGAGCAGTGGATATGTATAGATCTCGTCGCCCTACAGTTGGTCCTCATGTTGTGGGAGGAGGGTGGGAAGAGGCGGGGCCTTCTGACTCGCTCGACCTGGCTAAATTGATCATCGTCCTACTCCTCCCGTCTGCTCCTCCACCCTCTCTTCCGCTGCCTCCTTCTCCTCGTCTTCCTCCTCATCATCAGTATCCTCCTACTCCTCCTCTTCCTCCTCCTCCTCCTCCTCCTCCTTTTATTTCTCCTCCTCCTCCTCCTCATCCACCTCCCGCCCCCCGAGGCCGATGAAACGACCTCTCGAGGCCTCTCGAGGGCGTCCACGGCGCCCGCGGCGCTCTCGTCGATGCGGGCATTCGCGGGCGGGGTGTCTGGCAGCGGGCTGCACTCGGAGACCTGCTGGCTGGTGTTCCTCTTCGTGGCCCTCGACGCGTCCAAGAGCCTCGCCGTCTCCTGGGCGGCCCTGAACGGCCACGGTTGCGATCCGCTCATGATAGGCACCTGGGCCTCCTCGTCCTCCTCTTCCTCCTCATCATCATGACCATCACCATCACCATCACCATCATCAAACACATACTTATCATCATCGTTCCCCTCCTCGTCCTTCCTCTCTCTCTCTCTCTCTCTCCCTCCTCCTCATCCTCACCCTTTCTGTTTCCACTCCTCATTTCTCGGCTCCTCCCTCCTCCTATCCCTGCTCTTCCTCCTCTTCCTTGCGCCTCCCCCAGCTCCTGGGCTCATTAACGGACGTTCACGGGCACATGTCACATGTGCGCGCCTTTCGTGATAAGCGTCGTCGTAGTCCTCGTTACCGCGTGGCACTATTTCGTCGTCGCCGCCGTTGCTATCGTTGTCCTTGCCGCCGTCGCCGTCCTCGCCACCACCGCCAACGCCGTCGTCGTGGTCGTCGTCGCCATTTTGGTTCAAGCGGTGGTATTTGCAAGGCCCCCATCCTTCCTGAAGTTTCCTTTCACATTCCCCTTTCTACAGTCCGCTCATCCCCAAACAGGACGCACGTTGCCTCTCCTGTCATGGCCGCTGTTGGTGCCTCCGCTTCCGCAGGTGCCGCGTTCGCCCCCATAGGCGACGATGAACTTGAGCTGTTCGGAGCTGGCGGCCCGCGGCAAGCAAAATACCAACGTCTGCCAGCCGCATTGGCAGGAGGACCTCCAGGTGCTGCTGCCCCAGATCTTTGGACCGCCGCTGCAGCCAGTAAGTTTGGAACGCCACCACAACCAGGCCAGTCTTCTGGTCCATCAGTTGCGGTGGCGTTGGGAGCACCAATCACCGCCCTCGCTGCCGATTTCCGCACCATGTACGGCGCCACCATCGCTCTTCTAGGCAAAAAGGTTGAGACCGTGAGTTCCAAGTTGGACACCACCGTCACGGAGGCCATGCGTATGAAGCACGAGGTGCAGTCTCTCAAATCTCCTATGGGAGTCTTGGAGTCTGACGCTACTTCGGTTGGCAGTGGTGGGACCGATATTTGCGCTGTAGCCCCGTCGCCTGCCCGACGTCCTACGGGGCAACGCAAGGTTCTTTGTGTCGGAGTTAGGCTTACATCCAAGGAGTTGCCAAGGTGTGCCCCGCAGGCTCGTACGCCGACAATGTGAAGGTTGAGTTTACAAACGAAGTAATGGAAGTGCTTAGTTGCGACGACGGGTAAGAAGTTCACTAGCCCCCTAGCCGACCGTTCCAGAGAGTCCGACACAGTAGACAACACGAAGAGGAAGCTCTGGCACAGCATCGACGAGTACACCGAGGAGATCGCCTGCTGCACCCCAGCGGCACGCGCTCGGGGGGTGATCCTGGACGCCTTCCGCCAGAAGTGGCCCGACCTGGAGCCAGAGCCCCTCGCAGCCAGCCGGGGCGCGCAGAGCCACGTGGGTTCGGCAGCGTGCCTCCGCCGTCACACCTTCCGCCTGCTGTGGCCCCTCGCGAGCCCCTTCGCCCCCCCCTGGCTCGCGCGTGCCCCTCTTTTGACCCGCAAGTGGCGAGGGGGCCCAAGCGCGGCTCAACCAAGAGGGAGCTGTTTTGCAGGCAGAGGCCCACCTGGAGGTCGTAAACGATCCCCTAGGACAAACCCGCGACTAGGTTCTTCGCCGCGAGAACATTCCAACGACGACACTCTAGCTTTCACATGGATCTGCCATGGCGTCCCTGGGCGTGGCATTGTGCGGGTGCTGGAATCTCTCGAGCAGCGCTTTTTCTGGGATATCCTTCGCCTCCAAGAATTCATGGGGGTGACTTAACCTACCCCGAGATCACTTGCCATGCAGTTTTCCTGCTGGGGCCCCCCAGCGGGAGGCGGAAAATGAGACCCTGCGATGTTGTGCTTAAGACACTCAGGGCTTGTATCCTCGGGATTTGTTTTGTCTGCGTCTACGCTGCTTGTGCCGGACTGCTCTGGGTCATTTGCGCGCGCCTGGACCCCGATCCAAATGATCGAATCTTGCGCGCTTCAGATCTGTCAAGTGGCGAGCAGCTGCTCCAGCGAAGGTCACCAGGCAGCCAACCTGTCTGGGGAGTTGACGTAAGCGTCTCTTTCTCGCCCCGGCCTTCTCCAGCACATCAGATCGGGCCTCGCGCTGTTGGGGCAGATAGCTGGAAGTGTACGGCGTTTCTCGGAATCCTCACCTCCCACCGTTGCGTTGCAGCCGTTGTGCGGAGTCGACCGTCGCAGGGAATCGCCGCGCGCTTCCGTGGTGGCCGCCTGGAACCTCGCCGGATCGACTCCCTTGTCGCTAGCCAGAGCTCGCTTATTTCGAAATATGGGGCGCTCCAAACAGAGCCTTGCCTTCGAGGATCGAAAGGGCTGTCATCTCTTCCTCGGCGGAAGCCGGCGGAAGGCTGCGGAAGTAAAAGACATGCCCCAAGAGATAAACGATTTTGGTCCAGGGTGCTCAAGTTCGCCCTTCCGAAGTTGTCGAGTCCGATCGCGTTCCTGCGGCGTTGCGCTTCTGCCTGTAGGGACGGATTCGCCCCGCTCCAGGGCCCGCCCACAAGCGTCGATTGTCTCCGAAGCCTGCGGGCCAAGGGCTCGACGATCACAGCTTCCGCGCCCAGACTCGAGCAGCGCTTCGACATCGAGGAACGCCCTGGCGCGGGGGCCGCGCTGGACCAGGTCAGTTCACGCTGGTTGAACGACGGCCATGCCATTGCACGAGGAGCACTGACATCGGGGGCGGCCAAGAGAGGGGTGATGACTAGGGTGGGGTGAGTATCATGGCGTGGGCCATGATATTTCCTCAGATTTCATGGCGCCTCTTCTTCTTTCATTACGTCCCTGGCCCCCCCCTTGGGCCGCGCACGCGCCGCCAGCCATGATTTGCGCCCCCCTCTTTGACGCCCCCCTCTTGGCCGCCCCCGATAAAAAGGAAACGCATCGTGGTTGGGGCTTCGCCTCCTGGGCAGAAGACCCCGGGGCTCTCCCCGAATGCCATGTCCCCGGGGGCCCCTTTGGACCGACTCTTCAGGCTTGCGGGCTGGCGCGCGCCGACCCCGTCCTCCAGGGGTGTGGTTCGCCAGCAGCGCGGCGGGACCTTCCGGGGCAGCGGGGACGGGTCTGCGGCCCCTCTTGGTTCCCCCAGAGCCTGCGGGGCGCCCGATGCCGCCAGGGCGCTGTGATCGAGGTCGCATTCGGCTCCGCGCGCCTTTTGGGCACTTGGGAGCCTGGGCAAAAACTTCGCACCGGAACGCAGCGTCGCCCTCACCTCTCTCCTCCAGCTCCTTCGGGGCCAGGTCTTCCGAAAGTTCAGGGCCCTCCGCCCCTTCGGGGGCGGAGGGCCGCTCGAGCGCGCGGGGCAATGTCTTGGCGGGGCGTCAAGCTCTCGAAGGAGGCGCCCCGAAGAGTTCGCGCGCGGCTACGCCTGCGCGCGCCCGGCCGCGCTCGACTGGGCCGCTGGACAGAGCAGGCTTTGCTCCCGACTGTTGAGCATCAGCTCGCATTTCGAGAAGGCGCCCGCGCCCTTCGCCCGTCTCTTCTGTCTCGGCGCGCGCAGGCCACAGGGTCCCGCCCGAGCCGCGGAGGCAGCGGCGGGCCCCTGCGCGCGCCGCTGTGGGCGAGGCCCTCGAAGAGAGCAGGGCGGCTCAGGAGGGCCGCCGCTGCCTCCAGGCTCTGGCAGTGGGGGGGTCTGCCGCCGCGATTGCAGGCGCGGCCCCGGCGCGCTGGAGCAACAGAGACGCTGTGGGGTGGGGGGGGGGGCGAGGCGTGTGGCCCCCAGGGCGGCCAGGGGCCATCCGCTCCAGCAGCAGGTGCCAGCTCGACGTGAAGCCCGAGACGCAGAGCCCGGCTGTGGACTCGGATCTACCATGGGTGTCCAGCCAGTGGACCTCGTGCATCAACTGCGCGCGGTGCAGCGAGATGAGACATCTGAGTATTTGGCGAAGCACGGGAGGGTTGACAGAGCATTCAGAAGAGGGATGGCGAAAGCCATTGGGATCAACATGGGGGACCTGGTCTTCTCCGGAAGCGTCCGGAAATCATGATGTTTGGGAAGACGTGCGCTAGGGCTGTCTATATCGCGGCGGAAATGCTGCAAGCATTAAGCAACGACGCTTTGGGTTTGCTGGTGGAGCATTCCTCCTTGCGCCTCACAAGTCGCCCGAGCGAGGCGCATGATTATTGTTACCAGGCACCAAGTGGCTCTGGTTGCCAAGCTCTGGGGCTCCTGCAATGTGTGCGATTTCAGACCCATTGTCATCCTCTCTTGCTCTATGTGCATTGGTGCTCTCGCCGTCCTTCACGAAGGGTTCCCAGGTCCACGAAGTTGCTGCCACTACGCGCTCACTGGTCGAGAAGGCTAAAGAGCGCCAAGGCCACGCGTTCATCGGGATGAGAGACTTCTGCACAGCGCGCGACCACGTGTCTACCGCCTCCTCATATCATTCAGAACCCTGCCCGCCGAGGAATCCTTCGCATCTTGTCAGCTGCGTGGTTGCGTGGAATCCGAAGGGGAATATTTGGACATGTTGCTGCAGGGGCTCCTGGCTCATCGCGCTGCGCCTAGATCCAGATTTCCTTGGCAAGGAGGCCCAGAGGCGCCGGCGATCTTCTTTCTCTTCTCGGACGACGCTGCGCGAGATTTCGAGGGCTGCTGCAGGAAGGGAGGATGGGTCTATCCTTTGGAGGAGGAGGATGATGATGATGAGGAGGAGGAGGGGGGCATGGGAGCTCTGGGGCAAAGTGAGAGGAGGAAGAAGGAGGCGAACGTGGACACATTGGAGATTTATCTTCTGGCAGACAAAGTATTCTATGTACACCGCGTCGGCGGCAGTTCCCACGCAGATGATGATCGCCTGGCGCGCCGTCGTGATGATCCGACGCGAGGAGTGTTTCTGGACGATAACCGCCCCAGTTGACGTGACTTATCTGAATCCCCCAAAATGACGCTTGAAAAGATTAGGAAGATCATTCAGGACCTTGGGAGCCCAGGTCCCTTCGATGGACGTGCCTCGTGTGCCGTTCGCCAGGGCATCGCTCGGGCCCGGGTGGCGTCTATGTAGCAAGAACAGATCCAGTTTCTGTGCTCGCCGCACCCCATTCGGGCGAATAATCGACATCCTCGACGGGGGCGCCAGGCCCTTCGCATTCTTTTGCGTCGGCCGTGCGTCTGCGTTGCTCACGCGTCAACACCTTGCCCAGACACGTGCTGCTCAATGTCGAATGTTGACGTACATTGTCGGCTTCAAATACGACGCGAAGGCAGTCGCCAGATCGCGAAACGGATGCTTCACAAGATAAGGACGCCCCTGGGCGCCCATAAATCTGAACCTTGGGACCCACACGTGTTGCGTCTGAACCGTTCTTGGGCGGGACATCTCATGCATATGGCTAGGTCTGATAAACCCAGTCTTTTTCTGAAAGTTGATAGCTACAACGACTTGCAAGTAGTGGCATTTTTTGTTTGATGCCATCGGCTCCCAGGGACCCCAAAGTCATGTCTGGCGTCGGGAAAGGCAGTTGTACCAATCTTACCGACAAGACTGGACCGAGACCTGGAGGATTGGCAGATGACGTCTGCTGCTTGGCTGAACTGTCGCCAAGAGGACATGACATCGACGAAGCGAGGCACCAAGAGACGCAGAGCCGGTGCGGTGGAGATTTGGGTGCACCTACACGCACGGCGGAATTTTGGAAGCTCCAATCATGCATGCCCGAATTTCCATTGTAACCTGCCAGCGTTGGTTTTGCTGTTGTTTTGCTCTCTTTGCTCTGTCTCCTTCTTCCGCTATATGATTTCAAGTTCAGATTGCGCATTGTTGGCCTTGGCCTGGAGCCACCGTGAGCGCCGAGTGATGATGATGATGCTGATGCTGATGCTGATGATGATGATGATGATGATGATGATGATGCTTGTAATGATGATGGCGGGGATGATGGCGATGGTGATGATGATGATGATGGTGATGACGATAATAATGGTGGCGATGGTAAAGTTTTCGACGTTGTCGTCGTTGTCGTTGTCGTCGTTGTCGTTGTCGTCGTTGTCGTCGTCGTCGTCAGCACACCGCTCGTGGTAGGCTGCAGTACAGTCCTGTGGGTATCGCTGGTTCCCTCCCTCTTCCCCTTTTTTCCCAACCATCCTGTGGTGTTGGGTCTTCGCTTTGAAGAGACAGGGGCCTGCGTCACTCCTTCTCTTCCTCTTCCCTCTCCCGCCTCCTCCCTCTTCCCATCCCTGCCTCTGCTCTCTCGCATGCTAATTTCGGCGCACCCCTCGCACTTTTCGTGGCCTCATAGCGAACTCCACCGAAGGTCCCGTGGCAGGGTCCGCATGCAGTTTCACCTCCATTTCGGCGCACCCCTCACACGCTTCGTGGCCCATAGGGTGCCCCACCGAAGGCCCCAGTGGCAGGGTCGCATGCAGTTCCACTTCATTTCGGCGCACCCATCACACGTTTCGTGGCCCCATATGGTGTTCCACCCAGGGCCCCAGTGGCAGGGTCCGCATGCAGTTCCACCTTCATTTCGGCGCACCCTCTCACGTTAGGGTCCGCGAGCGGTTCCACCCCCATTTCGGCGCACCCCTCGCACGTTTCGTGGCCTCACATGGGGCTCCGCCGACGGCCCCAGTGGCAGGGCCCGCGTGCAGTTCCACCCCCATGTTGGCGCACCCCTCGCATGTTTCGCGGTCTCACATGGGGCTCCGCCGATGGCTCCGGTGGCAGCGTCCGCAAGGCGTGGCGTACACGTGTCAATTATGGCACACCCGTCATACGCGTCGTGGCCCCAGAGAGAGGCTCACCGATGACGATACCCATACCTGCGTTACTCACAACTGCACATGGTTGTGTCCTTCGCCTGGATAATGAACCCCTGTCTCCTGCCCCTCCTCACCACTGCCCTCCTCCTCCCCCGTCAGCAGGAGGGGCCGGGCAAGCGGCCAGAGTCTGGAGCCGAATCACTTCTGGCCCAACCCCTTTCCTTCCCCTCCTCCGTCTTCCCTCTGGCCCTGCGGCTGCCAGCAGGTGCCGTTAAGAAAGAATGGCGCCCCTTGGTTCCTCTGCCAGGTTCACGTGAAGGCCAGCCCCCTGTCGACAGTTTCGCACCTGCAAGTGTTGCGCAGGTAAGCATATTGGGCACAAGCCAGGATCCAGGGGTCCGCCCCTAGAGGCAGCGGCCACTGGACACTTTCTAATTCGGGTCCTCGTGCACTACTGATGCCCTTGCGCAGGGTTCCCAGATTATTCGTCGTGCATAAGCGCGACTACGTTCGCACCGCTGCCGCCGGTTTGGAGCCGTCGTGAATTTGTACCCCAGCAAGTACATAGAACGAAATTGCTTTGCGTGGCCTTGCCTATCTGTCGGCACTGCCCAGTGCAGGCCGCCACTCTTGCACAGTGTTAGTGTGGGTTGGTTGCCAGGGCTCGCCCCCGTTCGCAACCATCTCAGCAGGCTGCGAGTTGGGGTTTCCCCAGGCGACGGGTGTACCCCCTTGGCAATTCGTCCTCGGTGCAGGGACTGTTCAAAGACGACCCGCTCGCAGACCTAGCAGTTTGGTGCAGCCGAGTTTCGGCTACCTTGCTGCGGCCGATTTTGGGCCGCGTTCGCCGGCCAAGCCTGGCAGAGTCTTCTTGTTTTTTCTTTTCCCTTCCCGCCCAGCAGCGGCGCGCGCAGGTAGCTGTCGCGAGCGGTCTGCCGAGGCGAACGTGCTTCGGCAGAGCAAATCGAGGCTGCCGGAACCAGGAGTGGGGAAGTTCTGATTAAAATGGTTTTTTGGACAGAGTTTCCCCCTGCTTGGTGTTGCTGTTTCGGCACCCCTGAAAACAGGGAGGGCGCCTCGGATTCTGGTTGAGGTCACCATGATATCCTCCTTCCTCATCCTCCTCCTTCCTTTCCTCCTCTTTGTCCTTTGCACATATCCTCCTCGTCCTCCGCCTCCTCCTCCTCCCCTTCCTCCTCGTCTTGCGATGCAAGGGCGAAGCAGCGAAGTAGCGCACAATATGTGCGTTTCGTATGTTTTTGTTCCGCCCTTTCTAGTTTTGGGATGCTGGCGGCACGTCCCCTCGGTGCCCCATGTTTCCCGGCTGCTCGTTGCAATTCGTTCCCCTCTCTCCCCCCTCTCCCTCTCCTGAGCGACAGCCATGCAACCCCCACCCCGTTGAGGCATATGGATGATCCGCCCTCCGCCCTTCGTCCTCCGCTGTGGTGGGTCCGTGCGAGTGCTATTCCCATGCGCGGGCCCATGCTTTTCAGGAAGAAGGAGGTTTGGGCGCCACGGGCGCCTTTTCTCGCGTTCAAAGTTCTGCCTGCGGGCTCGCCTACCGCAGGTTGGCCCGATCACCGTTCCAGCTTTGCTTGGAGGCTGCGACGTGTGTGTGTGTGTGTGGGAGTTCGAAGGCGCTGAGTGGGGGGGAAAGCACAGTCTGGCCAGTGATCCTCTTCCTCCCCTGTTCCCCCCCTCTTGCCGTTCCCCGGCCCCCCCCCCCCCCTCCCCTCCCCCCGCCCACCTTCGCCTCTCCCCGTCCTATTCCCCATGGCCCGACTGCCCGATCCTGCCCCTCCCCCCCCCGTCCTGCCCCCACCCTCACCCCTCCCCGTCCTGTTCCCCGTGGCCCGCCTGCGCCGGAGCAGGCGCCAAGAACGCGCTGTCCATCGGCTTCGGCATGCTCCTGGCGGCCTGCCTGGACGGCCGGGCCGGCCTCCGGCGGTGCCTCGACATGCGCCGCGCCATGAACGTGCTGCCCATCTCCTGCCTCTTCTGCGCGGCCCAGGCCCTCGCGGCACAGACTGCGACGGCTCGATTTTTGTCAGAGCCTCGAGCCTGTGCGGGCCTAGGCGTTGGGACGCCGTCTCGGGCCCTTCTGGGCCCATCCTGCGGCGAGAGGCGTGTCCCGGGGATGGTGCCGAGAGCTCCGAGCGGCAACGTGATGAGCGTCGGGTATCTGGATCCTCCTGTCGTCGTCCTCCTCCTCCTCATCCTTCTCATCCTCATCCTCCTCCTCCTTCTCATCCCCATCCTCATCCTCATCCTCTTCCTCCTGTCTCTCTTTTGCGCGGCGCAGGTTTTCGCGCTCTCGGCGCTGCGCGCCTTCGACGCAGGCAGCCTGAAGGTGCTGGCACAGGTCAACCTGCCCACCACCGCGCTGCTGTCCTGGGCGGTGCTGGGGCGCCGCTACTCGGGGCAGCAGTGGCTGGCCATGGCCCTCCTGCTCTCCGCGACCATGGCTTTCATGCAGGTCCGCATGCTGTTCTTCACGTTCCCTCGAGGCAGGGCATCGAAGAGCAAAAAACTGCATAGACACGATTTCTCGGAGGCCCGCCGGGCGCCGCTTCTGGCGCGCCCCGCGCTTCAGGGAGGGGGTTCCAGCGTTAAGTCGGGCATGTCCTTCTACAGGAGGAATATTCAGGAAAAGTGAAAATTAGTCAGGGCACGATTTTTGTCGTATTTGTTGATGGCAACTGGTGATTATTGGTTGACTCTTTATCATTTCTCTTCCAAAATCCTACAGGATTCCAGCGCCGATCGGAGCGCGCGGACCTCCGCGAAAGTGTGCTTGTGCCGTTTTGTGTTCCTCGAGGGCAGCCACGAGCGGGGGAGCTGTGCTCCTGACACCCTGGGTGATCCAGCGACGAGACGATGGACTCCCCCAAGGGTGCGAGGAGCACAGCTGCCCCAGCTGCTGCTGTTCGGCGAGGAAACCACTCCAACGGCATTCCAGAGAAGAAGCCGGACAAGGTGCAAGGGATGATGCTGTTCCTCACAGGGATCACTCTCTCCTGTTGCGCGTCCATATTCGCGGAGCGGTTCCTGAAGAAGAGGGCAGAGGTGATCGACTGAACGAAATTGGGCGGGGAGGCGATTAAAGGGTCGGCGCCAATCTATATGTACATAAATATATATGTATATGTACACTTACATTTATACACATGTATGCATATACTTATATATATGCATATGTATAATTGTATGTATATACATATATGATTGAGTGCATATATATATATATATGTATAACATGTCTCTGGCACTCGTGCGTGGAGCGTAGGACAACAGAGATATATTCGGGGCAACTGAAATTTCCTCTGCTCCTCCGCTTCAGTACCCTTCATCTTCTCGTCATCATTAATGTATGCCCTCCTCAAACCATCCTCCATAATTTCAATCGTATTCATCCATCTCTTGCAACCCCTTAGACCCCCAAACAACAACTTCCTCGAACCCTTTGCGTCCGAATTTTATGCGCATTACATCATAAATGATTTGAATGTCAGTCGACTCCACTACTCACCACCTTTAGGGCAGTCTGGGTTGGGGGGCCAGAGCGCAGAAGCGTGTTAGCCCGTTGGCCGGGGGAGTTTGCCATTTAGGGTTGTTGCCGTGTGCAGATAGCTTAAATATATGACAGGGGAGGCCCAATCTCTTGGGCTGGCCAGAAGCGCACATTCCACATCTAATGCACAATTCAAGTGGAAGCCCCGTCTCGAGTATCTGACACACTCGGACATTGTGGAGTGGTCTACCTGGCTCCCAGCTGAGCACTTCAGAGTGGGTGACAGGAAAGCGCATCTGCCTGAAGCCTTCTTATGTACCGCTGAATCAGCGGCTGCGTTGAACGCAGCGCCGACGCAAACCGTCCCATAGCACTCGGTGAGCACGACGACGGGAGATGACCCCTCGGCTCCCTAGCCAGCTTACCGAACAGCTCCCTGGCAGGCGGTACATTCATTAAAAGCTTAGACACCCCTGCCTCTATTTCAGTCCAGTCCGCCAGCGCAGTGTCGCAGTTGTACATCAACATGAGGAGGCCGAACGGTCTTACAGTATTCCCGGGTGCGTACCTGAAGTGGGATTCCGACGCCCGCGACCCGCCCGCGACCAGCTTGCAACCCACCCGCGGCCCGCCCGTGACACGCCCGCGACCCACCCGCGACCCGCCCGCGACCCACCGCGACCCATCCGCGACCCACCCGCGACCCACCCAGAAGGTTTTGACGAAAAAACGGCGCCTGCGGCGTGCTCGTTGTGTAGCGTGCCAACAATCGGCGCCTTCAAATTTGTTTTCGAGTCTCGCGGGCTGCCGACTCCCCCGCCCGATCGCTCTTGTCCGCAATTGATGGCGGCTGAGGTATGTATAGAACTGCCTTATGCTGATGACCCCCTCGTTGGATATGCTCGTGAGTTGTCTCGTTTTCTCTCTAATGTCAGAGTGGTGTGCGGGTCAGTCCTTCCAAGCATTGGTGAGTTTACCTTTCATCAGGCACCACTGGGCAGATGCCTTGCAACAATTATCCCGGCGAAGGGCCCAACCATGTGCAGCTGTGTGTAACGCAGGTGTGGGTATCGTCCTCGGTGAGCCTCCCTCTGAGACCACGACGCGTGTGACGGGTGTGCCAACATTGGCACGGGTACGCCATGCGGACGTTGCCACAGGAGCCGTCGGTGCAGCCCCATCTGAGGCCACGAAACGCGTGAGGGGTGCGCCGAAATACAGGTTGGAACCACGTGCGGGCGCTGCCACCAGGGCCTTCGGTGGCCGCGAAACGTGGAAGGGGTGCGCCGAAATGGAGGGGGAACTGCATGCGGAACCTGCCACTGGGGCCCTAAGTGGAACACTCCATGGGGCCACGAAACGTGTGAGGGGTGCGCCGACATGGAGGGGGAGCTGCATGCGGACTTGCCACGGGGGCCTTGAATGGAGCACCCTATGGGGTAACGAAACGTGTGAGGGGTGCGCCGAAATGGAGGTGGACCTGCATGTGGACCCTGCCACTGGAGCCTACGGCGGAGGGGTGCGCCGAAATGGGGATGGAACTGCATGCTGACCCTGCCACTGGGGCCTTCCGCTGAGCACCCTATGGGGCCACGAAACGTGTGAGAGGTGCGCCGAAATGGAGGTGGAACTGCATGCGGACCTTGCCACTGGGGCCTTCGGCGGAGCACCCTATGGGGCCACGAAACGTGTGAGGGGTGCGCCGAAATGGGGATGGAACTGCATGCGGGCCCTGCCACTGGGGTCATCGGCGGAACACAACATGGGGCCACGAAACGTGTGAAGGTGCGCCGACATGGGAGTGGAACTGCATGCGGACCCTGCCACTGGGGCCTTCGGCGGAGCACCCTATGGGGCCACGAAACGTGTGAGGGGTGCGCCGAGATGGGGGTGGAACTGCATGTGGACCCTGTCACGAGGGCCTTCGACGGAGCACCCTATGGGGCCATGAAGTGTGTGAGGGGTGCACCGAAATGGGGGTGGAACTGCATGCGGACCCTGCCACTGGGGTCTTCGGCGGAGCACCCTATGGAGCCACGAAACGTGTGAGGGGTGTGCCGAAATGGAAGTGGAACTGCATGCGGGCCCTGCCTCTGGGGCCTTGGGCGGAGCACCCTATAGGGCCACGAAACGTGTCAGGGGTGCGCCGAAATGGGGTGGAACTGCATGCGGACCCTGCCACTGGGGCCTTCGGCGGAGCACCCTATGGGGCCACGAAACGTGTGAGGGGTGCGCCGAAATGGGGGTGGAACTGCATGCGGACCCTGCCACTGGTGCCTTGGGCGGAGCACCCTATGGGGCCACGAATGTGGAAGGGGTGCGCCGAAATGGATGTGGAACTGCATGCGGACCCTGCCACTGGGGCCTTGGGTGGAGCACCCTATGGGGCCACGAAACGTGTGAGGAGTGCGCCGAAATGGAGGTGGAACTGCATGCGGACCCTGCCACTGGGGCCTTGGGTGGAGCACCCTATGGGGCCACGAAACGTGTGAGGGGTGCGCCGACATGGGGGTGGAACTGCATGCGGACCCTGCCACTGGGGCCTTGGGTGGAGCACCCTATGGGGCCACGAAACGTGTGAGAGGTGCGCCGAAATGGAGGTGGAACTGCATGCGGACCCTGCCACTGGGGCCTTTGCTGGAGCTCCCTATGGAGCCACGAAACGCTGTAATGGGTGGGTGGAACGCAAGGAGGAGGGAGGAGAGGGAGGAGGAGGGAGGAGAGGGAGGGGGGAGAGGGCAGCGGGAGGTGGGAACGCGGGGCGCTGTCTCTTCAAAACGAGGACCCAACACCACAGGATGGTTGGGAAAAAACATTCAGAACTCCAGAAGGTGGCTCGCGCCCGAAGTGGCATTGGAATTGCTCTTCGCACCGCCAGCGAGACTCTTGCGACTCACATGGATAACAAAAGCTTCGGAGGCTAAAATGTCCTCGTCGCGCTCTGCGTTCAGGTGCTGCAGAAACTCCTGCAGCAGCGCATACACTTCGCCTAAAACAGCACTGGGGGAAAACCTCGCAAGAGTCCCAGGGATATGGTTTGAAACGGCTCTTCATGAATTGTACCGACCACAGCCCAGTCAGCACGAACAAACAAAAGCTTGGTGGGGGCAAAGCAGGGCCTGTCAGTGTAGATGGCATTGGGTAACGTTTGTTTCAAAGGACTTGTCAGCTGGCCGTCATGTTCGACACGGTTTGCATACATGCTCCCATCCCAACCAGGTGGTTTCTACAATATTTGCAGGAACGGGTTGCCAGGAACTTATGCAGCGGGTCTGACGGTGCCGCCTCCAGGCCAGGCTTCACGACATTGTCCGAGAGAAAGAAATTCTTGACGCTTCGCGTATCCCCGCGGCCGTTAATTATCTGCTTCCTGCGCGCTGTGTCCCAGCCTCGTTCTTACCGCCCTCTGGACTTTTCCTTGCGGGCCGCGAATCAAAAAAATAGTCCACGCGGCTCCGAAGCCTTGGCTCAAGCCCTTTTGGCTCAAGCCTTTTAGCTCAAGCCGCTCTGGCTCACGCGGGCCTCAGCGGCTGGTCGGGCCCCTGCCCTCCGGGCCTCGGCGTCCCTGCCCGCGGGGGCGTGCGAGGGGGTCGCCCCCCTCCGCGCCCCCGCTCGATCTGCCATGATGTCGCGCTCGGCGCTGCGGCGGCGGCAGCGGCGCGCTGCCGCTGGCCGCGCCGCCGCCGCGGCCAGCCCGGCCGGCCGGCCGCCGCCGCGGCCTTCCTCGGCCCCTGGCGGCCCTGGCGTGGCCTGCGGCGCCGCCGCCGCGGCCGCCGCCGCCGCTGCCGCCGCCGCGTCCGTGGCGGCGGCCGGCCGCGGCGAGGCCGGCGCGGCCGCCGGCGCCGTGGCGCGCGCCGCTGCGCTTGGGCCGGCCGCTGCGGCCGCGGCCGCCGCGGGAGCGGCGGCCGCCGCCGTGGCCGCCGCGGCCGCGGGTGCCGCCGCGCCCGCTGTTGCCCCCGCCGCGGCTGGCGCTGCCGCTGCCGCCGCCGCGGCCGCCTCTGGCGGGCCGCTGGCGGCGGCCGCTGGCCGTGACGCTGGTGGCGCCCCGGCCGACGGGACCGCGCTCCGCATGCTGAACGCCGAGGTCGCGAACGGATGGCTGGCGAGGATGGCGACCACCGGGATGTCCTACCAGGACGGCCTCGCGGGCGGCGCATGGGGCGACTGGGCGCGGTACACGGACTCCCCGCTGCGCGCCTTCGCGAGCGAGTCGGACGTACGGTGCCTGGGTGCTTCTGGAACCCCGCTGACTTCACCACGGACGGTGACGCCGCGGCCGCCGCCGCCGCACCGCCGCCGCGGCCGCCTCGGGCGGGCCGCCGCCGCCGCAGGCGGAGGCAGTGGCAGCTGGCCGTGGAGCAGCTGGCCCCCCGCTGCGCGCCTTCGAGGGCGCGTTGGGCGTGCCGGCGCCCGTCGGCTGCTGGGGCCCGCTCGGCCTTGCGCAGGACTGTGACGCGGATGTCTCCTACAGGAGGAGGTCCACCGAGAGCAAGCACGGCCGCATCGCCATGTTGGCTGCCAGGGGATACATCGCCCCGGAGTTCCTCCGGTGGCC